AAAACTTGTTTTTGAAAACTCGTACTTAATTTCGGGGACGAAATTCTTTAAGGGGGGGAGGTTATAGCGATCCCGGTCTTTCCCCATTTGGTTATTGTATCCGGACTTAGGTTCCGTGGAGCTTGTTGTTGTATGTATCGTGATGTCATCCTTTGATTCATTATTTTTGAGTTATAAAATGTGTTGGGCAGGTTTGTTACAGGTTTGGTGTGATTGGGAGCAAATGGTTGCTGCCCAGTTTTTGGTGTCTTCGCTCGAGCGAGGACTTTGTCGCTCGAGCAAGCTCTGTGTTTTAGATCCTTCGCTCGAGCCAGGGTTCCTTCGCTCGAGCGAGAGTTGAGTTTTGTATCTGGTGGCTCGACCGAGAAGTCCTTCGCTCGAGCTTGCGTCTGCGTCTGATTCTGGACCTGAGAGCTATGTTTCTTGGCTCGAGCGAGCTTTCCTTCGCTCGAGCGAGCGAGGTGTATGTTTTGGGTTTCGTCACTCGAGCGAGCATTCTGTCGCTCGAGCGTGCTTGTGGGTTGCAAACCTAAAGCTTCGCAATCTTGGCTCGAGCAATACTTTCTACGCTCGAGCGAGAGTTCCTTGTGTCTGGTCGCTCGAGCGACCAATCCTTCGCTCGAGCGAACCTGTGTTATATCAGTAGACAGCAACGGGTAAACACTTCACTTTTTTCATCTCTTTTGTTTTGCAAACCCTAGATCCAAGCTCCCTCTCTCTCTAGGGATTCATCTAGTTTTAGTGTGTTTCTACCCTAAGTCCTTTGTAAGAAAGGTAGAGGGTGGCTTGGGCTTCGTTTTAATCTGAAAAATCTCAGATTTGGAGCACTTCGGGTTTTGGTCATCATCTCCATTTGAGCTTTTCATTTCAAGGTAGGGATACCCTACTCCATCCTATGAGTTTTGTCATAAATTTTGGGCATTTTGATATGTTGGGGTTGTTGGGTAATTTTTGGAAAAGTTAGGATTTGTTTTGTAATTTTTAAAAGAGGGGTTTTCCATGTTTGAGTCAAATTTATGATATAGACTTGAAATAGAGGTTGTTTATGGATTATGGGAGAAAAAAGAGCCTTAGGGCTATTATTGGAAAAACGGGGAAAATGCCCTAATTGTAATGAATAATTAATTTGGGAAAATGTGAAATTGAGTTGAGAATAATGAAATTGGAAAATTTTGGGATTAAATGGTGTAGTTGGATTAATTTATCACTCACCTATGAAAATATTGATATTATATCTGTTGATGCATTTATTATCTGTTTAGAAATAACTGCTTTGGGCTATCGGTGGAGGATAGTCTTGATTGTTGTAGACACTGCATGTTGATTAGGGAAAACCGAAACTAATCACATTGAATATGTCATCGAACATGACAGTTGGAATAATACATCAAATATGTATATTGAGTTATCCTTGTATATGATAATTGTTTATATACTTGGAATATGTGTATTGTGTGGGAGAAGATAGGGGATGTACTCCATGGTTTGAGGGAAGATAGGGGGTGGACTCTCAAACCTGTTTGGGAGGAGATAGGGGATGGACACCATTAATACAACAAATATGTTTATTAAATTGAAGTATTGATATAGCAAAATATGTGTATCTATTATGAAATATGGAAGTGTTAGTATATGAGGTATAGTCTCATTGAATTGTTTGGCCAAGTTCTGAGCCATATATGTGAATTGATTCGGATAAGCAAAGGAAAATGAAGTGTAGCATGGACACGAGTGTCATGGAACTATATTGTGATATAACTAGTTTATAAGTGTTAACCATCTATCAAATGCTATTGGTTTAGTCATTGCCTATATTTGGTTTAGTATATCTCTACTGGGCTGTGTCTCATCCTATACGGGACATCATTTTCAGGTCCAGGTGATATGCCACCTCCAAGGATATAGCTTGGAAGGTCTTGAGAGTTGAAGACTCATTTTGTTGTTTTGTTATCTTTTATTGTATTACATGTAAATTCAGGCTAAGGGCTTAATATGATATGAGTTAGTACTCTCTTTTGTGTAACCAAGTGTTGACTTGAAAAGTTGTAAGCCGTTGGGTATTTACTTTTGTTGTAAACATGTAATACATTTGTAAGAACTACTCTGATGAATGGAAAAGTGTTTATTTTTCTTATATCAATGCATGTCAAGAATGGAGGATTTTATATATTTTTTTTAGGGCGTTACAAATTATGTAATCATAATTATCTTATCAATCTAATTATCTTATTTTTTAAATTATATAGTAGTAATCAAATCCACAAATGTGGATTACATGAAGCAAAAGTCAAACTTTGCAAGGCTAACAAGATTGTGAAGTTTCCCTACCCATTTTGATATTTTTCTATTCCTTTTCATAATAAGAAAAATGAGATACACAAAAGAATAGTATCATCGATGGGACTTCCAGGGCGTCTCTGAGAGGGAGACTTTTATTTTAAGAAAATTGTTTAAGAGTTCTAAAATAATGAGTTCTAATAGTTCTAAATATATTGTAGTTTCAATTGATTTGATATTTTTCTCTTTGTTTTTTTTTTTTTTTTTTTAATTTCCTACACTGCCAGCTCATTAGAGCTAGCTTAGTGCTCTCTTTTTAGTGGTATGTATCACCATTGTGTTTTGGCCTTAGTTTTATTTATATTTTTATTTTTTTGAATTTTTGTCTCATTAATGCTTAATTAGAACTCCTAAATTAGAGAGATGAATCATTGTTATAAGGGAAAATAACATCGTGGATAGTATTTTATTTATGAAAATGTATAAATTTTTATATTTATTTGTAATTTTTTTTAATGCCCACTATGAGTTATTTCTCCTTATTTTAAGGATTTAGTGCTTAAAGGCAAGCTATTGTACTCCCGTGTGGAGGCTTGTTTTAAGTCTCTTTTGATAATTCGAACTATTTATATTGTAGAATTTTTCGAGTAAATTATTCATATAAAAAATCAAGTTGATTGGATATTTACAGCCCTATAACAAAAGTACATTTTTTTGAAATTAACGGTTAACATAATTTTAATAAAATTTTAAAAATAATTAAGATCTAATCATAAGGTTACAAATATCTGATTAATTTAATTTTTTACATAAATAATATTCTCAACAAATATTATAGTACAAACAATTAAGATTATCGAAAGACACTCACAACCAATCTCCACAAAAGGCACGACAAGCTGCTGTCCCCGTGTCCTTTTTTTAAAGACCTCATGCATTTAAAATTTTCTAAACTATAGATTTCCACAATCCACAGTATATAATCAAACTTTGATAAACATCACCACTTTGTCATTAAGTTGAAGAATAATAGGGCTGCAAATTAACATAGTGGTTCATGATGAATAGGTTTGAATTCAATTATGATAAGAGATTGTTTGAACTTAGTTCATTAAATTTTTTTTGTGTTTAAGTTCGAGTTCGAGCTCATTAAATTTTTAATGAACAAGTTTAAACATTCTAAAACTCGACTCGTTTGCTGACTTATTTAATAATTTTTATTTAAGTATTAAATAATATAAAAATATGTATAAAAAATAAAATAATTATGTTATTTATATATTTAAAAAAAATATAAGTAATAGTTAACTATATATAGTACATTTATATAATAGTGGTAGTAGATATTATTATTTTGATAAAATATTGACTTTTTTTTTTAGAATGTGTTTATATACTGTATATATAATTGTATAATCAAAGTTTTAATTGTAACTTTAATCTCGTACGTAAGTATAAATTTATAAAAAAAAATTTGACTCGTTAAGACTTGTGAACAAGCTCAAGCCAAGCCTAAGTCAACTCGACTCGAACTTGATTCGTTAAATTTTTATTAAGTTCGAACTTAAACTCAAATACGTTAAAATCTTAATAAACAAGTCTAAAAAATGAAAACTAAATCTCGACTCAAATCAAATCGTTTCAGTTGAGCATCTCCAACCCACTAGGCATATCATGCTTGTTAGTCAAAATGTTTAGTATAACTCATTTTTTTCAACTCCAATGCACTAGGCATATGATTAGGCATTTTAGCTCAACTCACATTCACTAGCTACATGTAGCTAGCCTTCAAGACTAGGCAAAATATATTTAATCATTAGGATCATTTCCCTCCATCTTTGTTGCTGATGTGGTATTTTATAAAATTAATAGTATTTAGATGAATAGCTAAAATAAAGAGCATGGTTGGAGTAGAAACATGAAATAGTTGATAAGCAAAATAAAATATATACTTTATAGTAATATTTAGATAGGTAAAATGCCTATTACCGTTGGAGATGCTCTAAAGAATAACTTCTATTTTGTTCCTTTCTTTTGTTTAGATTGGACCACGTTGAAAATGTGAAGTGATGATCCATAAAAAATTAATTACACCCTTGAGAATGATGAGTAATTCCCACCTTAAATCACAGAAATAACTATAGTTTTTTTTTTTCCCCTATATTTTTTTTCTACCAGTGAAATAAAAGTAATTTGCGCAATGTAAAATGGGTGCACGTAATTTTTTTAATATTATTATTTTATAAAAAATTAAAATAGAGCAATGGGACAATAACATTTTAGTTTTAATTTCCAAGGTCAGTTTGATGAAGCTAAAACATAAATACACTAAATTTTTAGTATTGAATTTCCAATGCTAAAATATTTGAGTCCCAAATTTCAAATTATAAAAGTTTACAAATAGAAACAATACTTTTGAATAAAAAATGAAAACTAATAATCAGAGATGACTTAAGGTTAGTTTGAGGTGTTTTAAAAAAGTACACTTTTTGTCTTTTTACGAAAAGATGTACAGAAAAATAGAGAGAAAATGTGATGAAAAAAAGATAAAAAGATAGATTATATAGTTCATGCCAAACTAACCCTTAAGTCTCTACTTAAAATTAGGGCTAATTTCTCTTTCTTTTTCTTTTTTAATTAATTTTCATATTCAAGTGGTAGGTGATTATCAAACACAATTGATTATCAACTAAGGGGAAACAATTATTCCAAAATTTGGAAACTATTTAAATTCATTTATAATTATTTTTTTCTTGGTAGGTGTTTTTTGTATAATTTTAAATAGTACACAACATTTTGTGAAGCTAAATTTAACCTTTTAATGACCTGACTAACAAACTTCCACATGGTTTTCCTACCTACCCAGTAACATCCAACTAACAAGTTCCAAGAAAATGAATTTTTTTTCAAGAAACCAAGAAAAAAAAATTAAAAATAAAATAAAATAAAACAAAAAATGGAAAACCAAAATGAAAATTGACAACAACATTATAATGATAGCCCGTTGTAGTGACAGAACTCGAGAACTGTCCACTGAAATCACCGGTAGCTTCGATAATTAGGGCTATACATGCAGCTCTCTGCATATGCAACCAGATTTTCTGGTTGCGGGAGATGAGTAGCCAAACCTATCCATACATAGTTAAAGATGTTAGTATTATGTAAGTAATGATCAGCAAAAAGTTTACATGTGCTTATGTTTTATGACAGGAATGTAAAAAAGGGTCTCACCGAGTTCATAAGCTTTAGCAGCCACCCTGGCGGCAATGTGAGCAGAAATCTTTCTGATGTTGGTGAATGGCGGGAATATGAGCCCCTTGTCGAAGTTCTCCTGAGTTACCTGAGCTGCTAGAGCTTCCGCTGTGTCCCAAAGAAACAATACCAAAAACGATACCATGATAAATTATGATGGAAACTTTAGGAATACTTGTGTTACGAACACAAACTAAATAATAGAAAGAAACACACAACACAATACATATATGTTATGTGTGATCGGGTTTTGCGTTCCTAAACTTATTCTTATAAATCAGTGCAATCCTCTTCGGTATAAAACTCCAATTTATCTAAAGTCTGGCAAATTTAGAGAGAGAGATCCTCCTCAAGTTTTGGAATTTGAAGAACAGGTGAGCATCTCAATTAGGGATGGCAATTTGAACCCGATCCGACGCGGACCCGACCTTTCGAACCCGATTTCAGTGATTTTTTCCCGAAAAATATCCCTACAGGGGCGGGGATGGTATTCAAAAATCAATCCCCGATCAGTTTCAGGCCGGGGACAGGGATAAGTGTCCCAGCCCCGTCCCCGTCCCCGTCCCCGAAGTGTAATTACTATTTTACCCCTCTATATATATATAAACCAAATCCTCATCTCGCTTCTCTCTGAGTCTCAGACCACGTCTCTCATCTGTCTCTCCCTCACTCACTCAGATTTCTCTCACATTCTCTCACTTCTTATCACCATCATCATCATCATCATCATTGAACAGATCCTGAATAGATCGTGAATTGTGGTTCGTGAAGCCCTCCATTGCCACCGATTTGAACAGATCGTGAACCGTGGTCCATGAAGGCCTCTGTTGCTACCGATCTGAACAGATCGTGAATCATGAAGCCACTAATCTGAACAGATCATGGTCCGATGTCTTGATCAATGGACTCGTCGGTGCTGATAGAGGAATCAATGCCCAACTCTCTCTCTCTCTCTCTCTCTCTCTCTATATATATATATATATATATGTTACATTCACACAAGTTCCATCTTGATTGTATATATATATGTGTGCATGTGTGTATAATGAACAAATTTGTTGTTGATGAACAAATCTTTTTTTTTTTTTTTTTGAAGTTGTTGATGATTGTTGTTCTTGTGTGTGTGTTGAACAAATATGTCGTCCATATACAGATTAATTTTTTTTTTTTTGTTGTTCTTGTGTGTGTGTTGAATAGATCTGTCAGGGATTGTTTGGGGTCGAGGAAACCCGATCCCTGTTAGGAGGTAGGGGAGGTGATGGGTTTCCCGCCGAGGATAGAGGGCGGGGACAGGGATGAAGATTTTTTTACCTTTGGGGATCGGGGACAGTGAGTGTCATCCCTGGCCCTGCCTCCCCTAATCTCAATTTAACTAGAATTAGTCCCCAAAAAGACAGCCAGTTGAATCTCCTATTTTTCCATAGGAATTTGTTTTCTCCGGAATTTTTCTCCAAAGGATTAGATATTGATCGGTAAAGGGTTTATAGAAGTAACCATTAAGAATTTTAAAAAATTAAATAAAAAAATCCAACAAACATGCGTTGAGAAGAAATCACAATCTTGCATTCGATAATATTGGATGATATGGCTATATAGAAGATTCCGTCACTTTTTTTCATTTTAATTTTTTTATTTATAATATTTATCACTATTGCACATTTAAGGATAATTTGAATTTCAAAGTTTCAGTGCACTTACAAGCCACAAGAAGCATGTCATCATGAACACGGATTGCACCAGAGATTATCAAACCCAAACCAAGCCCAGGGAAAATATATGCATTATTTGCCTGATTGGAAAAGAAATGTAGTACAGAAGTCAGTCCTTGAGGCTTCACCTAACAATAATATGGACATGGTAGGTTGAAATAAGTCATTACCTGGCCAGACAAATGAACTTTCCCATCATATTCAACCGGGCCAAATGGGCTCCCACTTGCGAAAATGGCACGACCCTGAAGGCAAAAAACAGAAAAGAAAAGGGAACAGATTAATAAAATGAAAACAATTTCTCCATTTGTTTTATTTTTATAATCAAACACACTCATCATCTTCATTTTTTTGTGTGCGCAAAAATAGGTTTTGAAAATTCAGAAACATCTTTTTGGTTTTAGTATTTTTTAAAAAACTGACTCTGAAAATGAAACCAAACATCTCAAATTTTAGAGAGGAGGATTATCATCTCAATGATAGAAGCTGGCATATTTGTATCACCTTGCTCCATGTATAAGCTTCTTCGGCAGTACATTCAGATTGTGAAGTCGGATTGGAGAGAGCAAGAATAACAGGTTTCTGCATAACACTCACTCACAACAATGTCAGGGTCTTCGGATTGATAGTAGGTTTTCACCAACTAATAAGTAGTAGACCGAAAAACTAACAAATATGAATGCAATACCTCATTTAAGGATGTCATAGTCTCAACTACTTCTTTAGTAAATGTACTTCCTGCTCCTGATGATCCTATCAACACCGTTGGCTTGATTGCCTGGCAAAGCACGACAAGTGAGTGAAGAGACTGGGAGTCCTTCGGCATTATAAGAAAAAACGCAGGGGCAGAAGAGGGAATTCACACCTTAATAGCGTCAATAAGTTCTTTAACAGGTTCGTGTTCATGGGCCCAGGGTTTCTTGAAATGTTGAAGCGATTCCATGCGGGAGCTAACAATTAACCCCTACAAGAAAACAAAAGACATTTGCAGTTGACGCCAATTGCCACAAAAACTCAAGGTGACACTGGCGAGAGACACTGCATAGCTGGGGGCACAAAAAGCCCCGAGTTCTCTAAGCCGACTCTCTTTCTTTAGAGAGGAAGCAAAACAAGAACATACCAACTAACAAGAAATGGAGAAAATGACATAGCAATTTTCTTATTACCTTGGAGTCAACAAGCCAAACCTTCTTTCTGCTTTCTTCTAACGGGACACCAGTCTGTATAGAAAATAAGGTATAAACTCTCACATTGCCTTTTTAGTTTTACAACCCGCTTGCAAGAAACTGAAAAATAAAATATGTTAAAAAAACAAAAACACCATAGTTCTTGCCTGTTTTGAGATCTCAAGCGCTATAAGTTCTGCGATCCCAGTGCCAGCCTGCATCAACCAACGGACGAAGTGAGACAAAAAACATGACCCGACCCGACCCAACAGTCAGTGAATATATAAGAATAATGGGTAACATACGCTTAACTCTTAGTCAATTATTATTGCAATCAGAAAATTTATTAAACAAGTTCGTTTCTTCATTATAAGAATCAAGAAGATGAAATCTTCAGATAAGGCCAGTAAGGGCACACCTCTCCGGCTCCAAGGAATAGAAATCTATGATCAGCTAAGGATCCCCCAACAACCTTTAGTGCCGAGATAAGCCCTGCAAGGACCACAGATGCTGTCCCCTGAAACAAAATAAATAACACAAATAGTATAAATACTTTACCAATGCCCAAGCACACCCTCACACAAAAAGCAAACAAAGAAAGCAAGGTTCTATATATCACTAAGCCTCAATCAATTACCTGTATGTCATCATTAAAAACAAGATGTGTACTGCCATACTTCGCAAGCAGATCAAAAGCATTATGGTTCGCAAAGTCTTCAAACTGCATAATATAGATCAAAGTAGAGAATTTGAAAACTATCCAATGAATTGACAAATATCCAAGTCGAAGACTTAGGGGAAGGTGACAAACCTGAATGAGAACTTTCTCACCATAGATCTGCTTGACTGCACTCATAAATTCAAGAAGAAGTTCGGCATATTCCTATAGAGGAGAAAATGAAAATACTTCATACGTATAAACCTGCTTCATTATACAAACTATATTGGATTGGTGCAGTTAAGCATAGGGCATGTCATGAAACCAAATCTCAGACCTGCCCAGTTGCCCTCCTTTGTCTGAGACCAATGTAAAACTCATCGTTTAACAAGTTCTCATTGTTTGTTCCCACATCAATGGTTATAGGCAAGCACTGAAAATGACAACAGCTTTCATCAACAATTTTTCTTTCATAAAAACAAGTAGCAAAAGCATACAAAAAAGAAGTGATGACATATTGATTCCTGACTGACTAATTAAATGTATGCCTTGGTTGTCTAGGGTTCTGATCCTGTATCTGTAGTTCTCTGATCCTCTCTGTATAGATCAAAGAGCAGCATGATGTCACTCCAACCCAAAAGTGGACATGATGAATGTAGGGTTCTGATACTCATTTTTTTCTTCTTTGTTTCACCTCTATTTTTGGGAGTGGTGCAAGAACTATTTGGGCTATGATGGCATCCTATTGTTCAGGCTGTCTAGCAACTACAAAATATAAGTTTGGCACAGTTTCTTGCAAGCTAAAAGCTGATAATCAAAAATGATACGTAATAGCACCCCTCTCCCAATTTTCCACTAAAAAACTTTTTTTAGCTTATTGAAGTTATTTTTGCCTCAAAAGCTATAAACAGAAGCCACACCAGAGACTCCCAAAATTTAAAATTTAAAATCTAAAATCTAAAATCTAAAATGCTAAAAACAAAAAGCACCAAAGCAAACATGCTTAAAGCTATGTGGAAGTTAGCATTAGAGGAGTGGAAGCTGATTTTGCAACCATGGTTTTAGTAGGTTAGCCAATCAAAGATACTTCATCATGTGACATTTTAGAGATGTTTTAACTTTAGCCATATCAGGAAACAATAATAGTGTTGCCATAAAAGGATACTTACAGCTGATGGACGAATCCCTCCAAGTGCTGTATACAAAGAAAGCTTCCCGACAGGTATCCCCATCCCCTGATAACATTCCAAACATAGTCAATATCAAGTCCGTTTTAGTCTCACAGACACACACAAAAAAAAGCTTCCTATAGGTATCTCGATCCTTGATAACATTCCAAGAAAACTCAAAATCAAGTCAGTTTTAGTTACACACATACACAGAAAAAGATTATAATGTTCATAATTCATTCACGAGAATTTACAGAAAGCGAATCCATGTACCAGTTACCTGACAGCCAAGATCCCCAAGACCCAAAATCCTCTCCCCGTCAGTGACAACAATAACCTGAATTTTCCTTTGAGGCCAATTCTTCAGTACCTCAAGAATTTTCCCTCTACAAAAGACTTATCATCAGTTAAGTTTCAACATTATAATATGAAGTATTACAATTACTCAAATGACGAACTAACAAGGAACTGCAACGAAACATACTTTTCTTTCAAACTGATAAAAAGACCCTGAGGACGCCTGAAGATGCTCCCGTATTTTTGACATGCTTCACCAACGGTGGGAGTGTAGACAACTGGGAGCAGCTCCTCAACATTTTCAATGAGGAGCTTGTAGAACAGCCTTTCATTCATCTCCTGAAGACCAGGACAAGAATGACATTAAAAATAATTGAAGAGACAATTGAGTAGCATCAGTGGCATTATTAGCATCAATTAGATTTATTAAATAATTGAAGTTAGCATCAGCTTCATAGTCCAGAAGTTCACTGAATAGCATGAATGGCGTACCTGGATATCCATCATGGCCATGTACCTCTGCAGTGGGACTTGATACTGGCGGATATTGTGCATCAATTTCTTGATCTGGTAGGTAAAGTAGCAAGAAAAATATCCATCATTAGTCTTTTTTTATAAGATGAGGAAAATTTAAAAACACACAAAAATGAAAATGGAGAATCCAAAAGCTGAGGCGGTGTATTTTTGATAACCTGAAGATTTTGGGCAACGACGACTGGGGGAAGAAGACCACGCAGGTAATGGGCATCCCTCTCTTTCTCAGAGAAGGCGAGCCCTTTGTTGTGGTGTGGATCCCGCAATAATGAATACCCACTGCAGCACAGTTATAATGCACAGATTAAAAAAATTTGACATGGACTTGAGGAATTCAAAGGTAATGGACTATGGAGGCCATAATTTCTCAGAAAGAAAGGATAATAGTCATCACAATGAATCAACAAGATGGTAGATATTCTGAACCCAATAAGGTCACAAAGTAACAGAGAAGCAATATTAATAATTTCCAGCCAATCAAGGAATGTAGAACTTGGAATTTGAAAAGAATTACTAGATAATTTTTTTTTCCTTTTTTATAAAAAAAGAAAAAGAAACACACTCAAGAAATTAATTAAGTTTGAAAGTTATTTGGGATGTTCTAAATAAGTGCACTTTTTGACTTTTTATGAAATATGGGTTGGGTATGGGTATGGGTATGGGTATGGGTTGGGTTTGAAGTGACGTGGTAGAAAGGTGATATGACTTAAATAAGATGACGTGAGTTAAATAGGATAGTGACTTTTTTGCCTTTTAGCTTTTTTAGGGAATGACAAACAAAGGCCTTAGGTACAGCTGTATAAGAGCAACAAAAATCTATTTGAGTAAATTCGGAAATAAGAGAAATTTAGATTAGCAACAAAATTAACTTTCAGAATTATAAACGACAAAGTTGTTCAAGGAAATAAAGACGCTTCAAATTAAAAATAAAATAAAATTTGGTGGAAAAATGATATATCATTCTAGCAAACAACGTCATCTTGTTACTCCATCATCAAATTCGACAGAAGAGATGACAAATAATAAAACAAAAAGCTAAAATCCAGACTAGAACTGCATGAACCAAATAAACAAAGGAAAAAAAAAAAAATCAATCAATAGCTTCCTCACATAACATTCCAAAGCATTCAATACAAGTCCCAAACTTGCATTGAAAAAATAGAGAAATACAAAACCCAACTAGAATCAACCAAACAAATTACAACGTTATAAACCTATCGTATTAATCAAGAAAACACTTTGTAACAAATGGGATGTGCTAAATAATTATTAGAATTTCTTTATAAGCAAACAAATTCAAGACATTAAGGAAAAACATTATAGAAAGTGATTTAAATAAAATTGTAACCAAACCAACCAATAATTGCAAAGTGGAGCTAATATAAAATCAAGAACACCCCCAAAACACTTTTACACAAATCTTTATAATAGAAAGGAAATCACAAGCAAGAATACAATACTGAAAAGTGTAGGAGACCCCCCCCCCCCCCCCCCCCCCCCCCCAAAAAAAAAAAAAATGTTTTTTAAAAACAGATCACAAAAACATATGTAAAATTTTCATCTCAAATTAGCATAAAGCATAGAAAACACCAAAAAATTGGGAATCATCGATCTCTCTCACCTAGCAACAGAGACAGTCCAAGGTGTGATAGACTGATCCTCGGTGGCTCTATCCTCGCCGTACACGTCATCAACTCCACCGCCGACGGTGGATTTGGGGTCCACCTCGATCGCCGAAGACCCATCTCTCATCTCCTTCAGAGTAGTCTCCATTAACAGGGTCGCGTTTCTCTCTCCTGGTCGGCCATTGGAGCTCAAAGCCGCCACAACCACAGGTACATGGACTCGTCTCTGTGAATGAGATAAACTTCTCGAGACTCCAGAGAGCGAGTTGTTCTGTGTTCAATCAACAAATAAATAACTCAATTTACACAAATCTGAGTTCAAAATCATACAAAAGGAAATCAAAACATTGATCTTTTTAATGCCCAGAACCAGATTCATAGCTGATTCAATGATTTTGAAAACAAAATGAAGAAAAGATTGATCTTTTCAATGCTCAGAACAGAGGAGGCCAAGAGATGGATATCTGATTCGACGATTTTGAAAACAAATTTTTTTTTTTTTTTTTTTTTTTGAAATGGGTATGCTAGAAATAGATGAAGATGAAGTGGGTTTGGCTTGTTCAAAGATTTTGAAAAGAAGAAACTGAATTGGTCGAAAATTTAGGACTCAAAAAAGGGAAAAAGAGGAGACACGAAAATGGAAAGGTGATTCGACGGAATTGGACAAATCTGCTTCAGAAATATAGAGTTGAAGAGATGGGTTTGGATTACATTACCATAAAACTGGTTCCATTCAACGAGATCATGGCTAAACAGGTCTGGAAATCACTGAATCTTTCGATTTGCCCGTTTCAGCCCCGTGTGTGTGTAGAGAGAGAGAGAGAGAGGAAATAAAGAGAGAAAGAGTCTTGGGGCAGCTCTTCTTTATAGTCTCTCCCACCCTCCTCTCTGTTTCCTCCTAGTCGCGTCTACCAGAGAGAGAGAGAGATGGCAGCGAAGGAGCAAAAATTCTTTCTTTTTTTTTTCTGAGGTGTGACTGGAATTTTGTTATTGTATTACTAAAATACCCTCGAGTTAGGAGTGTAAAAATAATCTAAGGGCATCCACAGTGAGGTAGTTAAAATTGTTTGTTAAAGACTTCGTTCGGAAAGTGAGTTGATTTTTTGATTTTTTAATTTTTTTGACTATTTTAGTCTGAGCTAAAAAGTTTTGTTTGGAAAATTTTTTTTGACTTTTTTGCTTTTTTGACTTTTTTGTGAGAAAATAGTGTAATGATTATGGATTAGATGTGATATTTTATTTGTTGTGACTAAAATGGCCTATTTTGTCTTTTATGGCTAAAATAGTCCAAAAAAACCCATAAACCAACTTGCCAAACGGAGGCAAAGTGTGTGTTATAGGACAAAAAGTGATAAAAGTGAGACCCAAAAATGTTTGTTAAGATGTGTTAAGAATTTGTTAATTTTAAAGAGTGAGTGGTGGTGCAATGTATGTGTTAAGGGATGTGTTAAGGTGTGTGTTAAATATATATATATATATATAATAAATAAAATAAATAAAAAATTTAGTGTAATAAAAAATTTCAAGCTCAAAATTAAATTTTAAGTCCAAAAAAAATCCCAACAAGTAATAAAAAAAAAAAAATCCGTTGACCGGGTCAACCGGCCGGACGTCCGGCCGGTCAACCTGGAAGAGAAACAAAACACTTCCAAGCGCTAGCTAAAGCGCTAGCCGCAGTTAACAAACTTTTTAACACACACACCACTAATACAGATACTAACTGATCCACTGCAGCACCCAACAACACACTTTGCTAGCTAAAATTTAATGACACTAAAACTCTCCTTAGCAGCTCCACTGCGGATGCCCTAAGGTGGACCCGACCATTTAGACCCTAGTAGGTTTGGGTTCGAGTCCAGTTTGAGACCTTAGGCCAATCATTTTGAAGCTCGGTCTATAACCCAGTCCATCGGTCTGCTCAAGTCTTATTCAAAACCCGGTCCATCCAAGGTCCAATATCATTTTAGTTGAAAAAATAAAATTTTCGTAGAAAAAATAGAGAAAAAAATATTCATACTTGCCTACGCCTAGGCCTGCCAAAGACTCGAAAGCCTGGGTTTGAGTCTAATTTTTTAACCAGTGAACCAGCTCAGCCTGATTCGAATTTTGGCAAGAGTCCATGGGCCAGGCCCCATTTACACCTATATCTCGAGCTAAGTTCTTGGTTACATTTATATAAAGGTCCCACTGTATTTCGTTTCAATTTTTTAAAAATTAAGTTTTTTATTTTTCAATTTTTTTTATTTTTAGTGAATATTTTTAAAATTTTAAATAATTTTTTTTAGATGCACTTTATTTAGACGTATCTAAATAGTAAAATATTTGTGAAAATATATTTAAAAAATTTAATAAATACATAAAATACGAAAATTGAATTTTCATTTTTTTTGGTATTTAGTATATTTTTTAAAGATTTTTTTTTACAAATATTATACTTTTTAAGTATATTTATGTTAAATGTGTCTAAAAATTTTAAAAAATTGCTTAAAATATAAAAAAAAATTCATTGAAAATATTAAAATATGAAAAATAAAAAAGTAAAATTTTCTAAAAATTATTTTTTGAAAACCAAAACCAAACAACTAATTTTGAAAAGTCGGGAGGTATGTGATCCGCTCGCCCCAACGTCCCTCCGCGACTGTTTGCCGGCCTTAATTTATGTTTCTGTGTGGGTGATTTTCCGACCACACTGCCCGCTTAGTAACCAGCTGGAGAGCACTGGCAGAATAGATAGTACCTGACTAACCTGCAACAGAAATATAAGAATCCCGCGGTGGTTTCGACCACCCGGGGGCACTCCGACGATCAAGTCAGTATATCTCTCAAAGATAAATCAAATACTAAACTCACAAGCTTGAGTATCAAAAGCAACAAAAAATAAATAATTATTCTTAAAATTATATTTATCATTCATTTTTTTAAAATAAATATGATTCAAATATATAACTATCGATATCTAATCATCTCATTTTTTGTATGAATGTTCTGCTCAATGAGTCAAAAAAATAGTTCAGATCACCGATATCGAGTCTGAAATGGGTCTACCAAGTACAAACACACTCTCCAGTTGAAACGCCAATTTGAGAGAAACCAAACCCTTAAATTAATGGGGAACTACAAAAGTAAATTTTCATTTTAGTGATACATTTTTTTATACATTGACAAATATTTTGTGAAAGTACTACCATCGTGTTTGTTTCCAGTTCTTTGAAAATATTTTTTTAGAAAATTCTACTTTATTAATTTTTTTATTTTTACTGAATTTTTTTAATATTTCAAGTAATTATTTTAATTTTTAGACACACATAACATAAATGCGCCAAAAGGTATAATTTTCGTGAAAACAATCTTTAAAAAACTTACTAAATACCAAAAATACAACAAAAAAAAAAACGAAAATTTAGTAAATTCTTTGTATTTTTGTGTATTTATTAAAATTTTAAAATATTTTTTCACACATATTTTACTTTTTAGATATTCACTAAAAAAATGCTTAAAATTTTAAAAATATTCACTAAAAACAAAAAAAATACAAAAAATAAAAAACTCAATTATTAAAAAACTAAATTCAAAAAATTTAAACCAAATACACTGATTGATGTGCAGTCTTTTCAATTACAGAACATATAAACATTGAACTTTTTAATAAACAAATTTTTACTTTCCATTGTCTTGTAAGTTTTTTTTTTTTTTGCATTAATCCGTAAACTGAGTGTTTGGGGACTTAGTTTTTGGGTTTTTTATTTTTTTTTCACTACAAGGCAAATATTTTACAAAATTAAAAACAACAAATTCAAACAAAATATCACATGAAATTTCATAATCATTTAACTTTTTCTCTCACAAACATTATATCCAATCACAAAAAAACTCAACTATCTTCCCAAACACAAAAAAAAATTTCTCCAATAATATCCTACAACTAAAAAAATATACAAAAAAATCCACTTCCCAAATACAAAATTTATGTAGTGTTATTCACTTTGCTTGGTTCCAATTTTTTAAAAACAGTTTTCAGAAAACTCTATACTCTTATTTTCCGTATTTTTTTATTTTTACTATTTTTTTAATATTTTATGCAATTTTTTTACTTTTTAGACACACCTAACATAAATACACCTAAAAAGTAAAAAAATTATAAAAAAAATCTTTAAAAAATTCACTAAATACCAAAAATATAAAAAAAATACAAGAATTTAGTACATTTTTTATATTTTTATGTATTTCTTAATTTTTAAAAATATTTTTTCGTAATTTTTTTTACTTTTAGACACGTCTAAGTAAGGTGCATCTAAAAAAGTAAAAAAAAATGTTTAAAATTTTAAAAATATTCACTAAAAACAAAAAAATACGAAAATCAAAAAACTTAATTTTCAAAAAACCTAATTCAAAAAATTCAAACTAAACAGATTGAATGTGATTCAGATTCAACCTGTATAGGGTGAAACTCACATATTAAATGAATTTGTACTATTTATTAATTATTCTGAGTGATTTTTTAATACAAAGTATGATCCAAATAAAAGAAACTGTTTGTAAAAAATTCAAAAAAAAAAAACATAAAAGAAGGGGTTTTCTCATGTACTTCAAACGATGTTTGTTAATGATTAAATAAGGGAAAATTACATCTGAGGTGTGATATTTTTTTTTTTTTACCTAAATATGAAAGATTGTAAGTCACACTTGTATTTCCACAATATTTCAGTTGCACCTTATCATAGATTTACTTACGCTTTATATATTTTTGTAATTTTTTTGATATAATTCTCAGATTAAATAACACTAAAAAAAATTTAATACACAATTTATATATTTTATATAAATATATATATATCAATATTATTTATTTTTTTTAAAATGAGATTCTACGTGATTGATTTGTAGGTAAAAATAGTGAAAGCAAAATCATTATGGGAAGGTGGAAAACGTGGACGATAGTGCTGGTGACAGGGATGTGTTTCTATTTAAGGAGAAAAAATTATTAAAGAATTCATAAAGTATTATTATGTTAAACACATCATACTGTATTTTTAAAAATTTTAATATAAAAGTGAATAAAAAAATCAGTAATAAACATTATTTAAAAACCAAATTATTCATTTTTTTAATAAGACAAATGCAATAAATTAACATGCCTACAATTATCTAATTGATCTGATTTTTTAATATAGATGGTCTAAATATTGTGATTTAAAAAATAAATTTTTTGAATTATTAATTTGAGACCATAGATAAGCTTTATGGGTCCAAACAATATTTTTAATCTATTTTGTGGACAGTAAAAAATCCATTTCCTTTTGAGATAATTATTCTAATCGATTATCATTGCCTACGAAAATGACAATCAACCAACGGAGGACAAAAGGTTTGAGGGTCTTTGAGGCTGTGAAATAAGGAAAGAGAAATTACAACTCAGTGTAAATTTAAAATTAAAAAAATTACACATCAGTAGTAAATTTTATAAATATTAATAATTAAAACTCTATTTTTTTTTCCATGTATGTGTAAATATTTTTTCAAAATATCACTGAATTGTAAATACCCAATAAAGAAAACTAGGATGTGGTAACCCTCACAGTAACTTATAACGTGTTGAGAGTTCTAGTTGGTTGGAATTTCTTGTTATAAGCGTCCAAAGTTGTCATTTTGGCACACATCTATTGAGGTGTACTCCACCACCAAAGTTTTCCACTTGGTGCCATGGTCGTTTCTCTTTATGCTTGGGTTTTGTTTGGATTGAAAACACAATTTAATAAAGAGAAAGTGGTTCATGTTAGTTTACCTACACTAGTCCAATCCTTGGACAAATTGAACTCATCTATTTGAGATTAAAAAATATTTGCTAAGTTCTATAAATTTAATATAATTACAATGTGTGTAGAATTTTTCTTGTTTAAATGACTGAAATGTACTTTCTCTTCTCTTTATTGGA